GTTAGAGAGGCCTATAAAACAAAGAGTAACACAGTGAGGAACATGCTTCTTGGTTCAGTCAAGTATATGAGACCAAATGGGCAAGACTTGCCAAAAGCAAAGATGAGAATGCAGGAAGGGACAGGAAAACAGGACCAATGAACATGGGGAACCCGGGGTGGAAAAGGAAAGGGAGAAAGTGCTGACACATTACAGGGATTGCAACCAATGTCAGAAAACAATTTGTATATAAATTTTTGGATGAGAAACTAACTTGTACTGTAAACTTTCACCTAGAGTACAATAAAATTAAGAAAAAAGAACTTCTGCTTTCCAAAAAGATTTAAGAGAATGAAAAGATAAGCACATACTGAGAGAAAATATTTTCAGGTCATGTATCTGAGAAAGGACTTGTACCCAGAAGATACAAAGAACTCTCAAAACTCATTAACAAACCAATAGGAAAATAAATGGGCAAAAAATTTGAACACACACTTCACTAAAGATACTTAGATGGCAAATAAGGAGATGAAAATGTGCTTGACATTATTAGTCATTAAAAATGCAATGAGAAACCACCACACACATATTAGAATGGAAGAAAACCAGAAAACCCGTTGCCGTTGAGTCAGTTCCGACTCACAGTGACCCTATAAGACAGAATAGAACTGCCCCAAAGGGTTTCCAGGGAGCAGCTGGTAGATTTGAACTGCCGACCTTTTTGGTTAGTAGCCAAGCTCTTGACCACTGCACCACCAGGGCTCCAGAGTGGAAGAGGAAAACAAAATATACAATACAAAATACCACAATGTAGAGCAACTGAAACATTGCTGATGGGAATGCAAAATGATAATAACCACTTCAGAAAACAGTTTGGCAGTTTATTGTAAAGTTAAATATACACTTATGATACAATCCAGTAATCTCACTCCTAGGTGTTTATCCATGTGAAATAAAAATGTATGTTCACACAGAAACCTGTATGCAAATGTTTATGACAGCTTTATTCATAATCGCCCCAAACTGGAAACAGCCCAATGTTCTCAAATATGAAAAGGAATATAAGAGACATGTAGGATAAGGTGAAAAGCTCTAACCTGAGTCTGATTGCAGTTCTGGAAGAGAATTGACAGTATGTGGTAGAAATTGTCCCTCAATGGAAATCAAACTATGATACATCCATACAATGGAATAGTACTCGCCAATAGAAAGGAACAAACTACTGATACATGCAATGACATGAATGAATCTCAAATGCACCATACTAAGTGAAAGAAGACAGAACCAAATGTTACATATTGTATTAATCCATTTATCAGACATTCTGAAAAAGATAAAATTGTAGGAATAGAAAAATGGTTGCCACAGGCTGGGATATGGGAAGGGATTGACTATAAGGGGCAGCATAAAGGAATTATTAGGGGTGATGGAACTGTTCTATATCTTAAATTGTGATAGTCTTTACACAATTGTGTTTGCCAAAATTCATACAGTTGTACACCAAAAAGTGTAAAGTTTACTGTATATATGTAAAGAGAATTAAAAGAAATTAAAGAGAAAAAATTTCAGTGCACAAGTTTATCATCAGATTAGTCACACCTAAGGAGATAATTAGGGTATTGGAAAATAGGACCTGAAGAAATGATGCAAAACTCAGCAGAGATAAATAAAAGTATGAAATATGGAAGGGAATATAGGAGACATGGAAGATGAAGTGAGAACGTCTCTAACATGAGTCTGATTGCAGTTCTAGAAGAGAATGTGGCAGAGAGAATATTGAAGGCTTATTAGCTAAACTTTTCAGTACTGATGGAAGTCATCTAATCATATTTCCAAGATGTCCAGGAAGTCCCAAACAAAGTAAAAATTTTAAAATCTATAGCTATATACATAAGAAATATGAGCAAATCTTAAGAAAAGAAAAAAGATATCACCTTAAAGTGAACAATAATTAGATTGGTAGGTGATGTCTCTACAACAGCAACAGAAGCAAGAATACAATAGAATGGTATCTTGTGTTCTGAGAAAAGACCTATCAGTCTAAAATTCCATATCCAGCAAATATATCTTCCACAAACAAGGGTGGGAAAATGAGACCATTTAAGAAAAACAAAAACTGGGAGTTTGCCATTTGCAGACCTTTCCTAAAGGAAGATCTGAAAAATTTATTTTAGACAGTAAGAAAATTATTTCAGATGAAAGGTCTAAGATGTATGATGGGATGAAGATATAAGGAAGTGATAAACGTGGTAAATCTAAAGACTTGTTGACCATTTAAAAGAATAAGAATAATGCCTTTTAGGTTGAGAAAAAGAATTATATAGAAGAAAATTATATCATAAAAGTTAGGAGGGGTGATTCATTTATAATGCAATAGGAGGGTAAAGGTATTGATTAACTTTGGACTAGGTTAAGTATTTTGCAAGTTAAGTTTCTACAGTTGCAATTAAAAGAATAAAAGAGTTTATAACTTTCAAAAGAGTAGAAGTTAATCAAGTGGGAAAAATCCAGGAGAAAAAAGATAGGACAAATAGAAAGTACAAAATAAGGTGGTAGAAATAAAGCCAAATATACTCATAATTGCAATAATTGTAACTATACAGGAAAAAGACACAGATTTTCACGCTGGGGGGGAACCCTATAGAAATTTATAGGAGTCACATGTACAATGTAAGGATATGGAAATATTCAAAGTAAAAGAATGGAGAAAGGTATGCGGAGCAAATACAAATCACACAATAACTGGTGTAAATATATATCATCCAAAATATGCTTCAAATGGGAGAAATTGATAGAGATAGAGGGCAACTGCATAATTATAAAAATTTAATTCATTGTAATTATGAAAATCATTATCATAATTATAAAAGACTTAATTCTAACCTTGCATATACCTAAAACATAGCCTCAAAATAGAGCAAAACTGAAAGACCCACCAGAAGAAATAGAGAAATCTACCATAAAAATGAGAGTCTTTAGCATAGTTCTCTCAGTATTTGATAGTGAGCAAACAAACAAAAAATTATAAGGGTATAGAAAGTTTGAAACAACTCAATAAACTTAATATGATGGCTACTTAGGTATTACGAATGCCCAACAGCTGCAGGGCATTTTCTTTTCAAGAGCACAGAAAACATTTATAAAAATTACCATATTGATTTGCTACGTAGTCTTACATGTAGAAGGAGCCCTGGTGGCACAGTGGTTAAAGGCTTGGCTGCTAACTAATCAATCAAATGGTCAGCGGTTGGAACTCACCCGCTGCTCAGTGGGAAGATGATGTGGCAGTTGACTTCCCTAAAGATTTACAGTCTTGGAAACTCTATGGGGCAGTTCCGTTCTGTCCTATAGGGTCACTATGAGTCAGAATCGATTCCATGGCAGTGGATTTGGGTTTTTTTGGTTTTCTTCTCTGTAGGTAAATATAGTGTGAGCACTAGGTTGAATCGTATGAATCCAAAGACATATCCTGGAACTTTCTGTCTTGGGAAAATTTATTTTCTCTTGTTCATACGTAAAACCAAAACCAAACCCACTTCCATGGAGTTGATTCCCACTCTTAGCAACCCTATAGGACAGACTAGAACTGCCCCACAGGATTTCCAAGGCTGTAAATCTTTTATGGAAGCAGTCTGCCACATCTTGATCTCTCAAAGAGCATCTGGTGGGTTCAAACCGCCAGCCTTTCGGTTGATTAGTTAGCAGCCAAGCCTTTTAACCACTGCACCACCAGGGCTCCTTTTCATACATGCTAAGTGTAAATTGTATACTTGAAATATGCTGACTTTCTTGAATAGTAATTTTTTTTCCTTCCTTACTTTTTGAACACTTTTCAAAGCACTATTTCATCTATATAATGGGAATATATACATCCTTCACAGCATTGTGTGAAAATTAAATCATATATATCTTAGAACTACTGCCTATTATGTAAGTGATCAAGAATTGTTACTGTTAACATTATTATTTTTGCTTTTATCTTCCATAAACTTACTACACAGTTATGAGAGCTGTATTGGAAGTTAGAAGACCTGGATTCTAGTCTGTCTCCCTGTTATTTAACTGTATAACCTTAAATAATTCTCTTTTTGAGCGTCAGTGCAGTCTTTAAAATAGAGGGACTTGTACTAGATAATGTTTAACTCCCGTTGTAGGTGTAAGGTATTTATACATCCAACCTCATTTGGCTTGCTAATTTCATGGAAAACTATCACTAAATTTTATCATTTTTGGTTTGTTACCGAAAATTATTAATACCAGTTTTAGTTTCTACGATTAACATCATAAATGCATTTGGACTCTTTAATTCATCTTTACTGCTTAATTCATGGATTTGGACTCTATTCCATCTCTTCTTGACTTGAGAGAGCTAGACTTCTGAGTGCTAGATTAGGACTTTAATACTGACATTGTTCATATCTATGTATTTTTTCCTTCTTACAACATATTTACTTTGTTTCCAGTTTAACTATCATGACATAATTTTAGGGTTTCTGGCTATGACTGTCTCACCCCAGAAGTTTCTTTAATCATACTATGTTACCGATAATGAAAGAATTGGGATGATTATACAACAGTAGAAGGTAACTAAATTGTAATTGCCTTCTACATTCCAACTACTATTCAAGAATTTTCATTAATTCATCAACATTTGAGTGTTTTCTGTTGACAGGCACAGTCCTGAAGGCTTGAAATACAAAGTCAAACAAAACATGATCCCTGTCTTTGTTTAATTCTCCTACACTCCTTTAAACATATACATAGATACAGATACAGATGATGTGTGTTTGACAGATGAGGAAACTAGGACTTAATTAACTTGCTCAGAGTAATGCAGCTTCTGAATAACTGAGCCAGCGTTCAAATCTAGTCTGCATAATGCCAAAACCCATACTCTTTCTGCTATACCAACTAATCTCCCTTTTAAGAATAGATAAAATTGCTGGCATTATGCAAACAGATTCTGATTTTAAATGTTGATATTAATGACTTTTAATTCCATACATATTTTGTTTTTTAAGCCTGACAGAGAAAATCAAGATTCCTTGTTTGATAGAATTTCAGAAAGTTATGTGGCGCTTTTCATGAGCATACCACTAAGTCGAAAAGATGCATTCTTACAGGTAAACTTATAGAAGTTAACAGGTTATACTAATTATTTTAGAGTGAATCAAATAATTATTTTATTTAAAACACATGTGAGAATTTTTTTTTAAAGCAAAACTGTCTGAAATAGAGTAAGTAATGATAATATTTAAAAAGCTATGCTTCTCCCCTGCCCTTACAATATTCTTTTATCTAGAAGTTTTACAGAACTTTCTTAGTGGTATAGGTATTTTGTTTGCATATTGTTCATTTGAACACTATTGCCTTATTCTATGTAGATTCTTGTCTTTTTTATTTATCTATAAAATCATTTATCATGTTTTCTTTTCCCTAATATTAGATCTTTTGATTTAAGAGAATGTAACAAGTTTATGCAGTGCCTGAGGACTCAGTACCTGTTATAGGCAAGAACAATGCACACGTTTTTTAATCAAATGCTTACTTCACTTTTCTCTTGTTAGGCTAACTAATGAATAGGATTGAATAAAATAATTTATGTCCTTGATTAATGTGAAATGAAGATGTGTAGAATTTCGTTGGTATTTTTAAGTTTAAACATCTAGCATTTCAAAGCAGGACCCATGGTCAAATACTTTGTTGCACTGGCATTTGTAAATCAGAAATACACAAGTATCTTGAAATCAGTAGATGTTTTCATGGATAACATGAACCTAAAATAAAAACAGTTAAATGTCCTTCACAATGAGAATATAAACAAACCTAAATTCACTAATTTGCTAATTATTTATGTTCAATCTTGACCTGTTTCACTCACTCACAAACATGTATGTAAAAGTGTGGTAGAGGGAATAAGGAGTGGACTGGGAATAAGGAGACTTGGCTCCATGTCTGGAATCTGCTTCTAATTACCTGGGTGATGGTGGCAAATGACTTAACCTCTCAGGTTCACAGCTGGGTTGTCTGTCAGTTGAAGAGATTGGATTAGATTTGTGATTCATAAATTGTTGTCTTGTTGAACAGTGATGTTCTGAGAGATAGGCTAAGTTTTTCTGCTGCTAATATTGAAATTGCTTTTTCTTATTTGCAGGAAGAAGTTAGTTAATGGTTAGGAGTTTTGCAATTAAATTGTCTAGAGATGATAAAACCAGCTGTTTCTCCTACCCATACTCATTCAGCTAGTCTCTCCTTTGGTGGTGTTCATACTGACATATATTTACTGACTATTTCTAGCCTACGTACATGTTTGGCGATATCAAGAATGCTTTAACACAAGGCTCTTAAGAATAAGAGATCTATTTAATGTGGACAAAGAAAGAAGTCATGGCACCATTGTGTATCTCCCATTCTCCTATTTCTGGTCCCAGTGCAAGATACTTTTATGGTCCAGATGATGACTTTTTCTGAACAACTATTTTAAGTGCCTTTTTCCAAGAAGAAATTAGAACCTGTTGAATCAACATTCAGATCTTCATTTGAGAGTAAGAAAGATATACACCTTAATGTTTTGACCACTTGATCTGTATTCAGTCCTCTTTTAATGCTCTCTCTCTCTCTGTTTCTATGCGTCAGAACCAGACCACCTCCCTACAGGCCTACCCCTGCAGAGCTATTTAAGTAGAAGTGGAGCTTCATCTCCCATTGATCAATTTCCATTATTTTTAACTTCTTCAAATAAGTATGGGTTCAGTTACTATGGGCTCATCTTATTTATCTTACCTTAGGAAAACAAATTTATTAATATTTAAGAATAAAAAAATCTTCAGATCCTACTAATCAGTACAAATAAAGATTAACCTAAACATATTTAGTATGACTTTTATTTCTCTTTCTTCCAATATCATAAAATTATATTCCTTCAAAAATTTTCCAAACACAGCCTAACAGTTGATCTCCTTGTATCTTAATCTACTGAAGGTAGATATTCACAGAAAACTTATAGAAGTTTCTCTTATTTGCATTGTTCAACATTTTAATTTTAATCCTCACTATGATTTTATATACCACAAATATAATATGTGATAATTTCTGGTAGTAAGATGTTCATGGTTCATTCAATAACATTAAATATAATATAGCAGTATATTACATAGCTCTCCTTTCCTCCCCCCAATAAAAGCACGGGGTTCTTTAAAGAGTGCATCACTACCAGAAAGTCTCAACACTACTGGATTAGATAACTATGTTATTTTCCTATTGCTGCTGTAACAAATTATCACAGATTTAGTGGCTTAAAATGACAGAAATTTATTCTCTTGCAGTTCTGGGTGCTGTAAGTCCAAAATGGATTTTATGGGGCTAAAATCAAGATGTCAGCATGGCTTTTTCTTCTGGTGGAGGCTCCAGGGAGCATTTGTTCCTTGCCCCTTCCAGATTCTGGTGGCTGCCAGCATTCCTTGACTTGTGGCTGCATCACTTCCATCTCTGTTTCCATCATCACATTGCCTTCTCTTCTGTAGTTAAATTTCCCCCAGATTCCCTCTTATAAAGACATTTGTGATTACATTTAAGGATCACCAGATAATACAGAATAATCTCCTCATCTCAAGATATTTGATTTAATCACATCTACAAAGTGCCTTTTCCCATATAAAGTAACATTCACAGATTCCAGGTTTAGAATGTGTATATCTTTGTGGGCAATTATTAAGACATTAAGTGTTCTCTAATATCCCTTCCAGTTCTAAAATTTTACATTATTAAAAGCTTAGATTGTGGTTGTAAATATTTATCTGAATTCATAATATCAAAATACTGACTATAAATTGTTAAAATACTTATTACTATAAAAATATGATATCTTTCTGTTTTTAGTCACTCCCTAAGAGAAATTTAGTAGTTTAGAGATTTTAAGCCTAATATAATACTGCCAGTGCCATAAATTTGTTGATATCTGATCATGGTTTTAATATTTAAACAATACAGTATTCAGTACAATATATACAATAATTCATCTGAACAAGCTTTAGTTATTCAAAAATTCTTTTAACTGTGATAACCCATATACATCACTTTCTAAAAGAGAACAAGGATTGCAAGGTTAAATGGAATAGGTAAATAATAATAAGACCTTATCTTAGTTGTTAACTTCATCCTTTACCCAAATTAAAAATTTTACCAAAATGCTAACAAATAACCAAATTGACTGACTTGAGTTTCAGACTCTTCTATATTCATGTCCCTCAAGTGGTGATACAAAAAAAGTAATAAAATGGCCAAAGCAAACTATAAAAGGGGCAAGTATATTTTACAAACTAAGTAATTTTTTGGTAGCTGAGGTATGTTATATAAAATATAAAATAATTCTAATATGACTGTGTTTATTGTAGGTGTATCCTGATTGTTTGGCACAAGCTATCTATACAACATTTCAGGAAGCATTTCCAGAATCCAGTAACCTCTTTAATGATGGATTTAAAGAAGATCTAGGGTATAACATTTTTCTTTGGTTGTCAGGTATGATTATGTCAGTTAAGTATTGGTCATTATTTTGGTACCTAGAACTTTTAGATTGCACTGTTTTATTTTGAACAGGCAAAAAAAATTGTTAAGTTTATTGCTTTACAAAACATGCCATGCAGATGTCTATGTTTTAAAATAATGATGATTATTTATTTTCTTCTGAAAATTTTGTTATACCAAAATAAATATATAACTTTATAACTCTAGAAGCCAAGTAATTTTATAGATACTGCAATTATTGTAGAAAACTGAATTACCAAAGGAAAAAATTCATACCATATATATTCCACATTTGGAGGATACATATATTAAGCTGCTTTTGAAACACTACTTATTTTTACAGCACGTAATATTGGATGGAGTAAATTCTAGAGTTAGTTGGATTCCTCATAGAACATACAATTAATCATTAATCAAAGAAAATTTGTTTTTTAAATAATTGTGTGTGTGGAGATGGGAGTGGTAGGACTGAAAGGCTGAAGGAAAATAAAATTCTGTACTAAAGCATTTAGCTAGAGATTTAGATGTTGTTGTGTGCTATTGAGTCGATTCCAATTCATAGTGACCCTATAGGATAGAGTAGAACTGCTCCATAGGGTTTTCTTGGCTGTAATCTTTACAGAAGCAGATCGCCAGGTCTTTCTCCTGTGGAGCCGCTGGGTGGGCTCAAACCACCACCATTTTGGTTAGCAGCCAAGCACTTAACCATTGCACCACCAGGCTCCTTAGAGATTTAGACACTTAGGTTTAACTTTAAGGTATAATGATATGGTTTCGTATTCCTGGAATGACCTCCCCAACACTTTTTTCTAAGATTATTAGTATGAACTACCAGAAGTTATTGAGTGTTTTCAAGTAGTTCTTCTTCTAAATTCTTCAGTGTAAATGTTGACTGATTTTGGAACTACTCTGTGTCAATTCTTAGTAACCAAACCATTTCTACAATAAAATATTTTATATTTTAAGGAGTGAGCCCTTGAATGGCAAAGATTGGAAAACAACCATGACAAAACATCCTTTACACACACACACACACACAAGAATCTAACTAATTCAATTATAAGAAACAAAAAGTGAATAAGCCCAACATTCATACAAAGACACTATAAGAAAAAGATGTGATGAAAAGCAGAAAACTTTGCTACAGACCATGGTTAATTTTTTAAATATGGTGTGAGATATGGGTCCAAGTTCATTCTTTCGTAGATGGGCAGCCAGTCGTCCCAGCATCATTTATTGGAGAGATTATTCTTTTCCTATTGGATGAACTGAGCACCCTTGTCAAAAATCAATTGACTGTAGATGTATAGGTTTATTTCTAGACTCTTGATTCTATTCCATTGGTCTATGTGTCTCTCGTTATACCGGTACCAGCCAGTTTTGATTACTGTAGCTTTATAGTATGTTTTCAAATTGGGAATGTGAGTCCTCCAACTTTGTTCTTCTTTTTCAAGATTGTTTTGCTATTTCTTGTCCCTGGCAATCCCATATGACTTTAGAAACATCTTGTCAATTTCTACAAAGAACTTATCTGTGAAAAACACAGTAACAGAGATGAAAAATGCCTTTATGGACTCGTCAAATAGACCTCACACTGCCAAAGAAAGAATCCTTTAGCTTGAATAGAAATTGTCCAAATTGAAACACACAGACACAGGGCATTTGAGAGCTGTGGGACAACACCAAACAGTCTCACATATATGTAATTGCACCCAAAGGAGGAAGAGAGAGAGAAAGTAGGTGGCAGAAGAAATATTTGAAGGCATAATTGCTGAGATTTTCCAAACTGGAGAAAGGTTTGTCTTTTCAAAAAAACACCCTGGAACAACTAGATATCCATGTATTAAAAAATAAAAAATAAACCTTGATCCTATGCAGAATTAGCTGAAATGGATTATAGCTCAAAAATAAACCAACTCATTGTCATTGAGTTGATTTTGACTTATAGTGACCCCATAGAACAGAGTAGAACTGCCCCATAGAATTTCCAAGGAGTGGCTGGTGAATTTGAACTGTTGACCTTTTGGTTAGCAGCCAAGCTCTTAACCACTGCACCACCGGGGCTCCAAATAGAAAACCTAAAACCACAAAGCTTCTAGAAGAAAGCATAGGAAGAAATTTTTGTGACATTAGGTTAAGCAAAATTTCTTAGGTAGTGGCATTAAAAGCATGATGCATAAAAGAAAAACCTTCATAAATTGTACTTCATCAAAATTAAGAACTTTTGCTCCTCACAAAACACTATTAAAATAATTAAATACAAGCCACAGAGCAGGAGAAAATACAGAAATATTATAAATATTCTACAGAATTTGTATCCAGAATATATGAAGAACTTAAAATTCAGTCAAAAGAAAATAACCATCCCAATTTTAAAAATGAACAAAATATTTGAATAGGCATTTCATCAATGATAATTTATATGAATCTGATAATGCAATCCCAGATTATTGGCATAACTCAGAAAGATATAGACAACTGTCTTAGTAAATGATAGAACAAGCAAGCAAAAGGAAAACAAACAATACCCAGGAAGGGTATAGAATTAATATTTAAACAACATGATTAACAAAAACAAAGTATTGGATAGATATAGAACACTGCAACTGCAAAATACACGTTCATTTGAAGCGTACATAAAATATTTCCAAAAATTCTCCATATATTTGGCAAAACTAAAATCTCCACAGATTTCAAAACATTTAAATTACATAGAACATGCTCTCTCACCACACTGCAATGAGTTAGAAACCATGACAACAAACAAACAAATAGAAAAGTTTTCATGTGTTTGGAAAGTAAGGAATACATGCCTAAATAACCCATTGGTCAAAGAAGAAATCATAATGGAAATTAAAAAATAGTTTTGAGCTAAATGACAAAAAATAAAAAGTACATATAAAAATATATAAGATGTCAGCTAAAGTGACTTTTAGAGGGTAGTTTGTGCCCCTGCATGTATATATTAAAAAGAATAAAGGCTGAAGATCAGTAATCTAACCATTGTTCTCAAGATAGATGAAACCAATCCTTCAGCCTTTTAATTTTTTAGGTGTGAATTCTCTATATTATACCCAAAAAGAGAGAAGAGAGAAAAAGTATGGGAGGAAATAATTGAAGAAGTACTTCAAGAAAATTCACCAGACACGAAAGACTTGATTTTCCAATCTGAAAGGGATTATTCAGTGCTTTGAACAATGGATAAAAATAGATGCACACAACAACACATTACAGGGTATGTGCCGCATAACGTCAGTTCGGGCAACATCCAACCGCATATACATCATGAATCCCATAAGGTTATAACAGAGTTCGGAAAACCTGATCGGAGAACAGGATGTAGCAGATATACTTTGCCAAGTACTGTAGATCCTATATATCTCTCATTAGCTCTCCATGTCCCAGATCAGTCCCGGCCCTGGGACGATAGGGGGTGGGGGTGCCAGTGCCCAACCATGCTGCCCATCTCACTGCTCTAGCCTCAGACAAGGACTATGCAGACATTGCTAGAGCCACCAAGGGGGATGCCCCCGTGAAGCCACTGCCCCAGTTGGCCAGGGTGCCCTGCATATCACACCTGGGCCCGGGACTGTGGATCGTCCCGCAGTGGTAGCTGCTGTGGTGGTGGTGGGAGGAGGAACAGGAAAGACGGCCGGGGGGGGGAGAAGGTGGAGGAGGTGTGGGTGGGGCTAGAAGAGTTTAAAGCTTATTGGGGGCCAAGGAAAGCAGGCAGAGAGGAAGAAGGGAAGGGAGTCAGTGGCATGGCTGGAGGCAGCTCGCTAGACAGCAACTGCATGCTTTGGTGGTGGTCAGATGCGGCTCCCGGAGACCGGACAGCACCCACACAGGACCAGTGGTAGCAGAGCCAAAGTTTTCAAGCAGTTGTTTAGCACAGCTGCTATGGCGCAGGTCTTGGGCCTTCCTGGTGATCGTCCTGTGTGCCTCTGTCCTGTATATAATATGGTGTTCTCACAATGTCCAAATCACATAACAGCCTATTCCATAGAATATATGATGGATGTTAAGCGACACGTTCCTGTATTGTGAAATCTCAGAACTCTGAGACAGAGAAAATACTAAAAATTTTCAGGGAAGAGAAGGATCAAGAAACAGAGTGGTGTGAGCCTTCTTATCAAAAACTCTGAAAGTTAGAAGACAATGGAACAATATCTTAAAAATTCTGAGCTAAAATTATTCACAAAATAGAACCCTACACCAAATTATCAAGTAAGTGTAAGGGTTAACTAAACACATTTTCAGATATGCAAGCCCTAACAAAAGCTACTTTGCATATGTCCTTTCTTATGAAGGTATTGGAAGAGACACACCAACAAAATAAAGAGTAAATTAAGGAAGAGAACAAGATGGGATCCAAGAAATAGAAGCTGTAACAGAAGGAGCATTTGAATCCCCAAAAATCTTGAAGGGGGCTCCCAGGATGACAGCTATACACTGAGCACAATAAAAAAATTGTTCATACTGAGGCACACTAGAAGGCTTTGAGAGAGATGTCTCTAAGAACATTAAATTCAGAAAATATCTAATGCATTTGAAGTTATTCAGAAGCAATTTAAATAGTTAGGAGGTGGGGAGGAGTTTGGAGCTAAATTAATTATAAATATATAGAAAATAAGGAAACAAGAATATCTGACAGTTATTAACTTCAGGGAAAAGAGTTTTTTTTCAAGAAAGTGATGTTTACCAAATGGCTTAACTGTGAATTAGGGTTTTACATGTAAATATGAATAGGGTTTTAATGTAAATACTGACATTCACCCAGTGAAAATTTTAATTTAACACTTTTGAGATTGTGTGAATAGAAATTGAGCTTATGCTGATGGTGAGAGAAGAGGATGAAAGATTGCTAAAGCCTTATGTTCCATAGTGCAGTGTCAATAGATGCTGCCTGTCTTAGTCGTCTAGTGCTGTGTCTTAGTCATCTAGTGCTGCTCTAACAGAAGTACCACAAGTGGATGGCTTTAACAAAGAGAAAT